GGAATTTCCATATTTTCTACCAACTCCTTGCAGCAGCTAATGAGCCTCTGGAAACCTCTCCTAGTACTGCTGGGACATTGAATAATGCTGAAGTAAATTAATGTACTAATACTGATGGATGATATGTTTTAAACAATATTCAACATACGATATTGCAGAAAATAGCTTTAAAAACCTATAGCAAAAGGGCTTATAATGATTAGGCTTTTTTATTGTATCTCAGGAGTGCTTTTCATCCCTAATCAACCGCAGTTTTGATTCAACTTAGCATGACAGAGATAATTACCAGTAGCAGCTAGTCTTCTATTCAAGTAATTTGAGGAAGGCTAATTACTATTTCCCCTATCATCTAATTATCAAAATTAGCGATATCTTAAATTAGCATAGCATTTCATTGAACACTTTTTAAATTCCCTACGCATAAAATTTCTAGTTACTTCTTTATAGATAAAAAATAGAATGAAACTGATTATGCATAGTTTTCATGTATTGGTTTCCTTTTTTTAATATAATTTTTTAATTTATCAGCTGTGTGAACCTTCGATATGTATCACTTTCGGCTGGTTTCTTATTCAACTAATATGACACCTCCCCACGAAAATTTGAAGATAGAGCTTAGTTTTTCGCATTTAATTTCATTTTGATCTACATTTCAAAGGGTTGTTAGCATTCATACTGGACGGCATGGTGACCCACACTGGGTAGAATCAGTTTCTCAAGCGGGAAGATTTGTTGTAAAATGAGTAATTTGTGCGAAATATTAAATTTGTGTAGTCAGGCTGTGTAAAGCTTTTAGTTTCATCTTATGGTCGTAAAATATGGTATAGTTTCAGGAAAAATATGTAAATATTGAAGCATGTAGTGCCAATTTGGCAAGACTTTGGGGATAAGCCCAAGTCTACACCAAATAAAATTTCACTTTGCAACGAGTCTAGTATAAACCTTAGAAACGATTACGCTTTCATAATAATAAGTTAAAAACAGTCTGCAGTATTTCCACGAATATTGATCTATTGCAAATTATTTGCTATTCTATTTCTTCTCCCCATGGCTCATTAATTGGCAAATTTATTTATTTAGTCAGATTTAAGGTTTTTATCAGATTATAATAATAATTATACGCTCATATATCATGTGAAATATATTACTATAATAATATAATAAAATACAATCATTATATATTATTATTATCATATATATATATATAATATTAGCATTTGATTAATATATTATTAGGAAGGTTTGAAATTTATTTCATATTTTGAGCTTTAATAATTTTCAAGCGAACTGCACTCTTTCAATTTTCCCAAAGTACTTAAAAAGTCCATTATTCCTTTGTCAATCTTTATCGCACTATTTATTTAATCGAATTTTTAACAAGTTAAGTTGGATGATAGTTGAAAATCTGAGCCTGTATTAAATATGGAACTTATCATTCTCTCAATCGTAATGCCTATATTCCTCTGTCTAGGCGAATAATTTTCGTCCAACTAGTGCGATGGATTGCTGTGACTAAGTTGTGCGAAAGGTAGATTAAGCGAGATAATATGATTAGTCGAAAGTGTCCGTTTGCTAATTTGGGAAAAACAATTAGAGTTATAATAAATTGAACACTTCATCTGATATATGTAATAGCGTCTATATAAGAATAAGATAATTGGTGTTAGAAAAATGATGGATTGAGCTTGAATAGCCCTTGCGGTAGTTAATACATCAAGCACTTAAAGGATAAATCCGTCCGTAACATTTCGCAGAGAGTAAAAATATAACTTATCCTTCTTATCTTCTTTCAGCTTTAATCATGTAGCCGAGTCGTTGTTGCAGGCCTTCATTTTGTCAGCAGCATAAGTCGCTTCGATACAAATATCGGTTAGGAATCCAAGACCTTAAAGGTGGACCCTTAATTTTGTGTGAAACTTGGAGTACGATGACTTGGAATGAATGTCACATTTTCTAAAGGTTACGAATTGCACGAAAAGTTCATCAAGTGATAAGGCTTTTATGAAAAAAGGAGATCTTTCTTATTAGTGTTTTTACATAATTTTTGCATTCACATGCTACTTTCTTTATTATTGTTGAATGCGTTTTCAGCGCATTCATCAAGTTTTAATAAAAAATTCAAAAAAACGAAATTAATTTTGTTATTAGATTAGTCATTTTTAAAACTTTCCCTCTCCTATTCAATGGTTTATAAAAGTGTACTTTCTTCGATTTTTCGGGACCTCAATTTGCTTTTAGCTAGCGGGTAATAATTTACTAATAATACAATAAATACAATTCTTTCGCATAGAGTTATGCGGATTTGACATTTACCTCATGTTTCTATCTTTTATTATGGTCTTATACAGAGTTACTCTACTGATAAATGTACAGATTTCTCCGCTTTAAAAGCAAGCCAGACGATCGGTTGGCTTGGTCTCTGTCCGGGTGCTCCTATTCCAGATAAAAACGTAGAGATCGCAAACCCTACTAATTTTGAATCAAACCAATTGAATAAAGATATCCCCTATCCGGCTGCCTCGGATTGGAGGCGCATCTGCGGATACTCAAAGACTCAGCAAGATGAAGAAGATCAGAACTGGGATCTTGATTATGCAGATGAAAAGGAGTATGATGGTGTAACCGACATTTATGAGCACAACCTTGAAGAATATGAAGAAGGAGTTGAAACTAAGAGGTCTAGACTTTTACCCCGACTTTCTATGAGGAATGCGGCTAAATTTTTCCGTTATACAAGGCTCGGTGGGCAGTCTATCATAAAAAACGTCGACGATCTTGCAGACTGGTATATAACACATAACTCATTCCTCAAACTTGGTAAGCAGCCTTATTTGGCTAAGGTAGGAAAACTTGATAAAATGCATATTTACCACCAGCTCACCTCTTCTCATTCAATTTATCATGGTAGATTAACCTTTGTTAATTAAAGCAACAAGTGTTC